GACGGTGATACTGTCCACATAGAAACACGTACAAAGCCTAGGCTACCAGCCCGCCTTGTTGTCATAGCTATTATACATTGAGAAACCAAATAAAGATACCATAATAATAATAATAATAATAATAATAATAATAATAATAATAATAATAATAATAATAATAATAATAATAACAACTTTATTTATCCTGATAAAACCGATCGGCTAGTACCATAGCTGGTATCAACCGGTGATCAGCAGAAAAAATAATCTTACTTTTTTTACACTTTGTACAATTTCAAGTCATATCTATGGAGATGTTATTTTGTTCAAAATTTATTGAAAAACTGTTGAAAATTAATCTAATGTGAAATGATAAAATACTTGTCACTGTCCAAGTCTTTCAAATTGTACAAAACTGAGAAGAAGAAAAGTGTTCATGAATTACATAAAAAATATATATAGAATTTGATAAAATAGGTATCTTAATGAACAATGAAGTTATTTGAAGTTACTGTAAAAATAAGACTAGTTTTTTTAAAAAAAAATAATTAAAATAGTTTGATGTGAATTTTGCTGTGTTGAAAAATTTTTATCAGAGTACAAACCTACATCTCTGAGTCTAATATTGAATTATCTATATTAATAACTTAAGTCCAGGATGATTATCTTTACAGAATTGTTTACTACTCTCTCTAACTTCTACAGATACTGGATTATATTCCAGGTTTAGAAGGTTTAGTTTACTTGGTATGTTATGGACAATGTCATGCACTCCTACATCTGATATGTTATTGTGAGACAGTGAAGATGAATCCACATTTGGACCATTTTCCATTCATCTTTATTGAGTTATAGTTCATTGATACTGACAATTTGTCTCTAGGTTTAGTTTACTTGGTATGTTATGGACAATGTGATGCACTCCTACATCTGATATGTTATTGTGAGACAGTGAAGATGAATCCACATTGGGACCATTTTCCATTCATCTTTATTGCGTTATAGTTCATTGATACTGACAATTTGTCTCTAAATAGCGGCTCTTTGTTAGTATTTAGTTTGATTTTATTTCATGGTTTTCCTGCGTTTGCTCTATATGTAATCTTAAATTCGATCAAATGATAGGAATCACTTTAATTTGCAAGACAGTGAAGATGAATCCACATTGGGACCATTCTCCATTCATCTTTATTGCGTTATAGTTCATTGATACTGACAATTTGTCTCTAAATAGCGGCTATTTGTTAGTATTTAGTTTGATTTTATTTCATGGTTTTCCTGCGTTTGCTCTATATGTAATCTTAAATTCAATCAAATGATAGGAATCGCTTTAATTTGTTGATAAAGCAATGAACCAAAAAATAATGCCAGTGCACATATTACATATAATTATATTGTAAATATAGTTCCAAACATTAAAATAAACATTCTAAAAGTAAGAATATCTTGTTGTGATGTGCAGAAAGCTACAGTGTGTGAATCGCAAAATCATTCTGAAATATTCTTGGCAGTCATGTTTTTGTGATTTGCACTGTGACTTTAGTTATTTAGCTATTAATAATATATCTTTTCCCACCCCTCCCCATAGGGAAAATTCCCAAGGGTGGGAGGGGTGGGAATGGATGTACAGGCTATTAACAATACTGTAATTAGAAAAACAATTTTACGGTAACTACTTTTTATTTACTATTGAGGGAAACAATTTTGCACTAGATCCTGTATTAATATACAATATAGTGTTATCAGATTGTCTTTTAGAAGTCAAACCCTATAACTTTATAATAAGATTTAAAAAAAACAATATTCTTGACATTTTTACTAGGATTAAGTACTATAATGTTAATATTGAAAAAATTGTTCATACTTTTCAGAATGGATGCAACTCACTTAACTTGAAGTTTTCTCAAGTTTTTTGTTCTGCAATCTTGATAGGCTAGCTGGCAACACTCAAGAATATTACTCATCAAGTCAAAATATTTCATTTTTGCATTGTCTTACTATTGTCATTATAATAACTGTTCAATGTCATCATCGCCATAATTATCATCATTTGATCAGTGTATGAAAATACTTCTCGAATTGGTTTAAAAAACCTGTTTAGAACTTGTTTTTTCAACCCATTAATTTGCCTAGTTGTCCTTCTGTCAGTTGGAATTTTTTTGTCTAATGTCTTAGAGTGCTTACATTATGACCATGAAATAAAATCTAAATAGTTACTATCACTATCATTCAACTGGAACAGTCTTAAATTTTGTAAACTTGGGAACCAAATACAAAAGAAACAATACCTTTAGTTAATACGACTGTTCCAGTTGAGTGATAGCAACTAATAGTCATTAAATAAGATCTATTAGATAGTAACTATTAAGATTTTATTTCATGAACATATTGTAAGTACTCTATCAATCAGTTAATTGTGTCTTAAAACATGGTTTTTTAACCCATTATATCATCAATCTTAACGTCCTTCTGTCCTAGTTGACCTGTTTCAATCTAAATTTCTCAGTTCTTACAAATTAAGTCACATAGATATAAAGCATGCCAATCAGTAGGTCTTTACATGTATTTCCCCACAAGCATTAGCATAACACAAGCAGGCATAGTCATAGAGTGCACGTCACATAAGCATGAAACAATTCTTAATATGTATTGYTAAATAAGATTTAGTTATCAACTAACTAAGAATTCAACAAAGCATAAACACAATGCCAATTATATAAATTCCTTTGTAGCATTGTTCTCAATTCTTAGTTAGTTGATAACTAAATCTTATTTAGCWCTACATAGTTAAGAATTGTTTCATGCTTATGTGACTTGCACTCTAGTCATTTGCATAGTCATATAAGTTACAGCCTTTAGCATGTGGATATTTCATTGTGTTTATTATATCCATGAAACACTTTTGCACAAATTAAACATTACAGAAGACAAATGATGATGTATTTGCCAAATTTAGTAAGGAAGTGTTATCACAGATATAATAATACACTCTACTCTAAACAAAGATCACATAGTGACAACTACATGACATGTCGCAACAGAATGGCTTCTTTGTATTCCGTGCAATTTCTCCTTTAGAAGGCGCAGATATACATCAGTTTATAGAAGAGTAAAACCAATTGATAGATATTAAAAATCTTTGTACTAATATTCATTGACGTTGTGCTAATAACTTGCATTAATATTCATGTACATGATGCAACATTGATGTTTTTTATTGGAGAAGCCTTTCGATTGCAGCATTGACGTCCCCGCCAGTGGCTATCAGTGCTGAAAGTAATAAATATTAATTGATTATTAAATAATTGTCAATAACGAACATTATCAATCATTAAGAACAATTAATTTAATTAATAATTAATAAAGGAGTTATAGTTCAATAAAGTTCATTGAGTGTTACTAGTAATTGATTTATAATCCGTTATTTATCAATCTTATGAATCCATGCACATTTTACCTTGAATATTGCGCTGTCGATCTACAAATCCCATTGCAGCTAGTTGATCTAGCTGAGCTCTAAAACGAACTTCAGGATTCTGGACAGGACTCTGGAAAATAATGCAGTATGAATTAATTTACTAAAACCACTGTGAGAAAGTACTGATATATTTGCTAAAAAAATAACACACCTGTGCAGGGTTTTGAGACATGCTTGACATCATTTGGGCCATCAACTGTGCCATGGCAGGGTTCTGACCTAACCCTGACAAGGGTGGTGTGGGGGTTGAGCCTATCAATAAACAATGAATTGTACACCGATGAATTGTACACCGATGCTCTACCAGCTGAGCCACAAGGCCAGACTGGGAGCAGGTCGGGGCGAAATAGATGTAAAGGTTCATGTCTATGAAATAGTTTGGAAAAGAATGGAAGTGAAGAAATGGAAGAAAAGTGAGATGAAATACCTGTTGTAGGAGTAGTTGTTGTTGATGTTGTAGTGTTCGTTGTTCCTGCTGTAGCACTTGTATTTGATGTGCTTCTAGGTGCTGTTGTACCACTACCCCTGTAAAAACCAGACACACATAATTGTTAAATATTGTCACTACTATAACATACACCACTCATTAAGAAGTTTTCATTTTATCATCACTGACTGTTGCTACCAGAAATTATCATTAGAGAAGTTAACTGCAATTGTTCAATTGTTGCCAAAACACCTTGGATCATAGAATTATTTGTCTCCAGCATAAAATTTTTCTCCTTTATTTTTTCACAGTTCTCCCCCTTTGCCCCTTTTCATCAATGTTGGGTCTTGTTTTGGATGCTTGTGTACTATGTTAACATGCTCAATGACAACATTGCATTTAGGGGGTCAGGGGGGATGAAATTGTCTGCAGGTGTTGCTTAAAATAAGAAAATCTGCTGGAATGGTCCAAGGAGTTTGTCAATGATTGTAGGTAACACTCCATAAGTTGTTTTCATACATCACTGATGGCACAAGATCAGGAGCTTCAGTTTGTAGCTGTTGGAATCCCTGTTGTATCTGAGTCAAGGCTTGAATAACTCTAGGATTGGTCATATGCCTCTGCATTTCAGGATTCTGCATCTAGAGGGCAAACAATAACATTATCAGAAGATACGAAAGATCGAAAGATCCATACATTACACTGTAAAACAGAAAACATTGGAAACACAAAACGCATCAAAAAGATTGGTACAAACCTGTGTCATCATTTCTGGAAGCCGACTTGAAAACTGAGAGTAAAGTAGAAGAAAAATAAAATGATCAATTCAAGAAACACACTAAATGTACCAAAGCTCATAGTGTCTATCTTTTGCTTACCTGTTCTGCTAATTGTGGATTTCCTTGAAACATTGGATTGGTTCTTAGTATCTGAAATAATAATGTACAAAGCAATATATAAAAAATACTAAATTTTCCTTTTTTTTGCACATTTTTTGCTGCTGTTTGACCTTTTTTTATTCAATTAATTTGACAAGTAAACAACATCTTACTGAAGTCATAAGTTCAGGATTTTGCATCATCTGTTGTGTCATTTGCTGGATATAAGGAGATTGCATCATATTCTGCATCATCTGAGGGTTTGATGACATCTGTTGTAACAGGTTTTGCATTGAGGGGGTCTGGAACATGCCTGATAGAAGAGGGTTGGTGCTGCTTTGGCTGAAAGAAAATAAACTAGTTTAAAAATGAACTTTTTGAAAAATGATGACGGTGACATTTAAAGCCATTAGCACTGCAGTTGGATTTCTTAACTACTGCCTCAAAATAGGAATTTTCATGACAGCAGGGTAGTAGGCATGGCAACCATACATGGATTACTACATGTAAGCACTAAGACACTGACCAGGAAGTCAGTGGAAAAGTATAGGAGCTTAGAACAGGATGGAAGGGACAACAACAGACTGAGTATATAAGATGTTTGTAAAGCACGGAGAAACAGTGACTTATATGGACTTATATTACCAACCCACTACAAGGAGATATTTTTATTTTACTGGACAATGCCGATCAAGAAATTCTGAATAGTACCACAGGGACCACACCTACCAACCTACATAACATCTAATTAAGCTTACCCTTGGTTTCCTGTAGTCTGACCAGTAGTTTGACTACTAGGAGTTGTGCCAGTTGTTGCAGACCTTGTTGTTGTAGGGGTTGTGGCTTGTGTTGGTGTCCTGGATGCTGCAGGTTGCCATGGATTTGGTAGAGGGGAGACATTTTCAGTTCCTTGTTGCGGATTTGCAGCAGCATTGCTGCTGGTGTTAGTAGTTGATGCTGATGAATTTGTCGTTGTCTCTCCTCCTTCAATTAATAAGTGATACAAAAATTACGTTTTCTCTCAATCTTTACAAACTCAAGAAGGAACAGATCAAAATAAAATGCAGCTTTTAGAAGCATTGAATAACAGAGCTTTTCTCTGCTTTACATGTGTAAAATATTTAAGAATATGTAGAATTACCTTGGCCTAGAAGGGCAGCAAATGGATTATTTTGAAGCTGTTGGATCTGGAATATACAAATGATATTACACAGGGTTCCCACTTACAGTATATTACACAGGGATCCCACTCACAGTATATATTACACAGGGTTCCCAATGTTCATAACAGTTTACCTGTTCTTGAGCAGCGTCCATCATTGGTTCTTGAATATCGGTATACATTCTCTGTAAGGCATTAAAACCACCTGGCAAGCTCTAGTAATCATATAAACAAGACATATATCCATTTTAACAAAACTAAAGATTGCTTATACACACATTACTTAAAGGGCTACTTGGACGAAAATTGCGAAACATTAGAAAAGACTTGGAAATCAAATAAACCTATCCATATGTGTCTAATAATCATGAAGCAACAGATATTGAGACAAATGCTTAATTAATTTGGGCAAAAAATGTTGGAGTAGATGACGTCATGTACTCAATCCTTTTGTTCTTCCATCTTTTGAATCAAAATTTCTCTGACGTGGGATATTAATTCCAAAACAAATATTTTCCCGCAGTTGTTTTTAATAGATATATAGTCATATATTTGTATTGCTTGAAGTTTAAGCAAAGAAAACAACAGTTCCTCTTAGGAAGTCTGGTATGACTCACCTCAAGGTTGCTCAAAGCTCTATCTTGGTTGCGCATCATTTCCTGCATCAGGGCAGGATTGCGAGCCATTTCCATAGTCTGAAATAATTTAATACGACTTTAAGTTCTATATTGATAACAGAGAGACTACAAGGCTGTAATAGTGACAATTTTTATGAGGAATTTGCCTTCCTGTAAGATTTTTATTGTACTCACCTGCCTCATTAATTCTGGGTTATTCAATATGTGAGATATCTCTGGATTCCTCTGTTATAAAAAATAACAATAGATCCATTAAATACACGCAAGTTACTAGTAATAGTAATAATGTGAAAGATAAATAATCACTTAAGTGATTTGATAAGCAAATGAAGGAATAATTAGCAAGAATTAGAATTTAAATTAAAAGGCATCCATGATTTAAATAACATATGTCTGGCCAGTCTACAAATAGGTTATAACACTTTGCATATTATCCAACTATGCATAATTTATGTAAAAAGATGAATAAATTGACATACCTCAATCAAGTTTTGCATCTGTGGGTTACCCAGAATCACTTGCCTCATGAGCTCTGGGTTGGACATCATACTCTGTAAATAATGTTTTTTGAAGTATTTAAAATATCATTTATGATTATTTATCCATTGTTACAATCAGCATACCTGTACAATAGGGCTGTCCATGACCTGTCTCATGACATCAGGGTTGGTCATCATCTATGGTTAAACAGTTGGCATGAATGAAAGAATTAACAATAAAATGGTTGGATGAAAAAATGAATAACTTCTTCAATGAATGAACAAATAAATGGATGGTTGCATGAATAAATGAATAACTACTTCAATGAATGAATGAATGAGCAAATAAATGGATAATTGCATGAATAAATTAATGAATAAAACTAAATGGATGAATGCGTAAAATTAATGGGAAATTAAACAAATGAATGGATTGACAATTAAATGGATTATTCTCTATTTTCACATATCCATAATTGCCTTGTGTTATGCGGAGTTAACAATTATCATTCAAATGCATTTTATCTGATTGACAATAAGTTTGATTTGAATGGCAATACATGTACCTACATGTACCTCTCAAGAACAGAAGGCATTATTGGAAATGTGAAAATCAAAAATATGAATAAAACTTGCACACTCACTTGCTGCTGTAGCTGCTGCGTCATTTGGCTAAGATTTCCTAAACAACCAGTAAAAAGACAAAAGTTTTTACAACATATTTTTGTGCAATGTAACAAACATGCAGTAATATACCTGAACCAAAGTCCAGACCTGAACCCATTCCACCAAACATGTCCAGGGATGGCTGCTGTGGGGTAGATGAYGGCTGGCCTTGTGCTGGAGTAGTAGTGCTGGATGATGCAGTCGACTAACATAGAGAAATATTTAAAGTGACTCATCAGAATTGTTAAATGTATCCTTTAGACTTCATCTTGTGGGTGAATAACAATTGCGACAGTGCAATGACTCAAGCCATGGAAAATACAAAGCATAAACCACAAGAAAATCATAAATTTGTTAAATAAATTCCCATTTCACAAGACATCACGTCATCACTATCACCACCACTGAAAACAATAAAATGTCATCATCATCATCAAGCAATGATTAATCTACTCACCGATGCATGGTCAGCAGCCTGCTGTTGTGCCTGTGAAATACATTTAAAATCAAAATTAATGTATCATTGATCCTCTTAAGTAACAGCTACCAGAGTACTCTGCATAAAATATTTTTTCTCAATTAGATTAATAATCCCAGTAATGGTATGGACAAAGCAATACCAAATGCTACTGCGCAAATGGCATATTTTCTAAGTGTTGCAGACTTCAAGGTAGTACATTTTTGCTTATTTTCCATGTGACGAGTTTTGCAATATGTGCATTTCAATATATAGTATGTTACATGGAATCCTGCCGCAAAACATCTTGCTTATTTTTCAACTTTCAAATATGAATTGTGGTTTTATGCAGAGTGAGAAATGAAAAAGGATCATACAATTTGATGATTCATAAAGTTAAGATAAAAAATACTACATCTAGTTGAAAAAGGATTTTTTATAAAATGGAATGAAGATGTATGAAGAAGGTCCTTGTTTAATCAACAAATTTGTTTAAATTGATTAAATGTACAGCAGAATACTTAATGACAGATTCTCCTGAGCTGGAAAATGCAGAATTGCCACACAACGTGAATCCATGAGTTTCCGCTTTTCGCTTGGTTCAAAAGGCAAAAATTGCACTTTGAAACGAAGTAATTCAAAAGGAATTTTACTCATACACAGAAAAAAATATCATACAGATCTATTTTTGGATCAAGGTAATAAAAATGTACTTCTTACCTTGTTCTCGGACTTTATAACAAGATGTACTGTCAACCCATCTTTGATATCTGAAATGACAAAGGAAATCGTGGATACTCGAAAAATATCAGAGCTTTCAAAGTCCACAATAATGGCAATTTATAATTTAGGAGACAGCACTTACTATATGATTCCACAGTCTCATTATCTTTTAAGATTCTACCAGCGAAGATCAAGCAAAGTTGGCCAACTGGGGCATTATTAAACTTTGGTGAAATTTCGTCTTTGAACTACAATTTCAAGAATGCTATTAAGAAAATTATCGTTTTGGCTTTACAGAATATTGCAGTGATACCTCTTTTATCGTTGCATCGGGTGATATTTCTATGGTTTCTTTTTCTTTCGAAGTTTTGACGACGACTTTAATCTTGTTCTGTGACTCCTCGTCCGCCATGATGACTCAATACTTCTTCTTTCTTGTCAGTTCGCCCCAGTGCTTTTCCGCGCGTGAATCTACTAAGGGGGGCTGGGACAAAAACTAAATTTGCGCAATTCGCACGCAAAAGACCACAAAAAAAGAGTATTTGTTAAAAAGCAGCTTCTTTGATGTTATATAAAAACAAAACTATTACATTATATTGTCAAATAATATTTATAAAAAGAGATATAATCTACAAAAAAATATTTTTAATTTGATTAAAATTCCAGTCATTAGCCTCCCTCCCTAAGTCGAAGTCCACAGGGCCTGTTTCCGGTTGTTGAAAAATGGCGGCCATGTTCCAAGTCACTCCAAGGTGAGTCCTGATAAAAGCTTGATATTTCTCTTTTCTTAGCACTAATACAATGTATCCATAGGTACAGCAAATATGCTATATCATGGCATTGTACGAAAGAATGTATTTTTGTCTGTTCAAATGTATTTTCATATGCATGATGTGTTTTATTCGTGTGAATAACTTCAGCTTGTTATATTAATTAATTTGTGTTTAGGCTGAAAAAAGCAGTGATCCTCATTAACGATGTAGACAGCGCAAGATTCCCTCTCCTTTTGAACAGAATTATACAAAAATTACATTTGAGGGTAAGGAACTATTTATGAATTATTGATGCAATAAACCTTTTTATTATGACTGTGTCTGCCATGAGCCCCCCCCCCCCCCCCCTCCCTCCCTCCCCCCGTACCCCAAGAGGGCCTGTTACTCTGGCTATAACACCCCCACCCATGCCACGAGGGCTAGACACTAAGGCTATATCTCTTTCACAAGACTACAGTCAGTATTCGAACGACCAGTCCACACATCTTGTTTTGATTATTGCGACTGACTTTTAAGGTATATTTTCTCAGGATGAAAAAGCATTTTCTGCTGAAGAGGAGGAAAAGCTGCAAGCTGGTTTGTCTCTGAGTGTTGATGACCTCCATATAGTTTTAGAAACATGTTCCTTTATATTTGAACAGGTGATGAAAATTGGAGCAACAAAAAAATGAGAGAAAATTGAAAGAAACTGTCTATGAAATTTGATTTCAAATATACTGGTAATGTACTAAATGTTTTAATCAACAGGCAGCCTACCATAGTGCAAAGCCTGGAATTTTGCAGCAGCAGTTGAAAAATATTGAACTTGACGATGATAAAGTAAGTTTGCTACTAATTGTGCAGTTCCAAGATGAATCGACTTATTGACAGATAATTCTTTCATTGTCAGATCAACTCAGTCATAGAGATCTGGGCTGGACATAGTAAAGCAGTTATAGGGAAACTAAGACAAAGAAGTTTAGCACCAAAACAGGTACATGAAAATTGAAAAAAGTTGGAAAAGAAAAACTAGCCTTCAAGGCTTTGGTTTACTTTGTACAGTAATTATGAATTTCAAAGTAAATTTCTTTTCTTTTTAAAATTTTAAACAGCTTGATGGAATCAACTGGAGATTAAATCTTCAAATGGCTCAAGCAAATAAAGCAAAAATGAAAGTTCCTAATGCTTTATTTGAATTCCAACTTTCATCCTCTGGAGAGGTACTAATAACTTTGCTCTTATACTGTAAATTTATCAGAGAATAATGCATAAATTTGATGAATTGATGTACTTTTTTTGAAGAAAAGTGAAAAACTTCAGATGGAATTCACACATGAAGAGTTGTATGCCTTTTATAGTCAGGTGGGTACTTTATGGGAGCCCTGTGTATACAGGAAGCCCAATTATTATTCTATCTAATCACAATGCCTTTTTTACCTTTTCAGCTTGAAACAATTCAAAGCCAGTTAGATGCTCTTGGATAAAACATCACAGGGTGAAACTAGGGGGGGGGGGTGCATACCAACTACAGAAACCTTTCTGGTCATTGATCTTTATAATAGTTTCAATGGTGTGCACCCCCCTTCCCCTATTCCTATGGAAATAGTAATAAACAAATGATATATTTTTTGTATATAAATCTATTATGAAATTATGTAGTTAGACTTCACGTGTATGTAATATTTCAGCGATCTCATATTGTCAGAATGAAAGCAATGTCATTGTAAAGTTTATTAGCGTGTAATGTAGGAAATTCAATACCATTTAGATTTTAAGTCTGTAATTAAAACTAGTTGAAAAAAGTCAACAAACAACAACCAATAATAAACAAATTCCTTTATTTCTTATTGAATTTATTTTCATTAATGATAGTTTTTATAAACCTGTGAAAAAGTGTATTTACTGTGTCTAATTCATTCTTTCAGACTGCAGACTTGAAATAAAAACAGAAATTAAGAGTAACGGTACTATAAAATACAAAATCATACTTCACAGGTCTATGTAAAACTTTTCATTTTTTTCAAGTATTTCTTATATATTTTCATTCTTGATAATTTTGAACATTTTCTTATACCAACTCAATTATATGTCAATCTAAAATAATCAACTAACTATACTTTCTCTAAGCAAATAAAAAATATTACTAGAAAACAAACTATACACGAATTATGTACAACACAATTTGCCATGGATGCAAATAATACATTTGAAAATATACATATTACATGAAGCTGTAATGTTACTTGATAGAAATAACTTTCTATTCCCTCAAATAGAATATTGAATAAAGAAGTGCTTGTAAAGTATTGCCGTTTGGTGTTAATTCAAACAATTATTAAAATAGATAGGACTAGAAATCAGTAGCATGCATACCACATATCCAAGCAAAGTAGTGGATAATTAATAACAAATAATTTTACTATCTGGCCCTGAAGAGTAAGGGATTGTTTCAAAGAAGAAGTGTCCCCATTTAAGTCCAGTTTATATGTATTGTAGATCACATACAAAAATGCTCCATGGAAGCGAATTATTTCAGTCTAGAGAATGCTGTATATGATCCTTTATAAAAGAATTTATAATAAGCTTATGTCTCAACAGTTACCATAACCATTGTTTCCTGTCCTGCGCCAATGAAATAAGTTAAATGCTACACTTGTAATATTATCTTATTTAAAAAATAACTCTTTGGATTAATAATATAAATATAATATTGTCTATATGCTAGCAGCTTTTTGGAACCTTGCCGTTGACAAGAACCTTATTTTCTGGAGTTTTTGATGATGGATCAATGATAATATGTATTCGTCCACCAGTGGACCCAACGCTGTCCCCATCACCATCCTTCTTCTTTAACAGTTTTTCATCTGTACAATTTTGTGAGTTATCAAAAGTAGGTGATTTTGTGTATCTCAGACTTTGAATATCTTTTTCTTCTTGGATTGATGAGTCATGTTTCTTGGGCCCACAAGAGGATAATGCTTGGTGATGGAATTTAATACCAAGGAAAAATCCCACAATGACACTGAGAACTATGGCAACAAGGATAGCAACTACAAACAGACCTGTGTCCATTCCTTGGGCTGAAAAACATCACAAAATTCATCATCAATATTATAACAATATCAATAAGAACGAATGGAGAAACTTAGTTACTTAAGGCTGATTTACACGGCATGATTGTCTTGTGTGATTTGTAGTATACGACTTAAATCGCGCAGTGTAAATGCCCCTACGACTTGTCTACAACAGTCRTACGCAACCTACGACTTGTAGTAGGATTTTTAACCACTGCTTAAAATCCTACGACTTGTAGTAGGAAAATCGTATACTACAAGTCGCGCGCGACACATCGTACAGTGTAAATCAGCCTTTAGAATCAAATACAAACTGAGTTCAAAACTTGTCCATGGAAAAAAAATTTACCTTGAATTCGATATCCTGGAGTAGGAACTAAAGTAAAACAAAAAATCTTTGTTTTTAAGACTTTCAACCATTAAAAAAAAACACTCAAAAATGTGGGGTGCTCATTTAATATCTGTTGGAGCTTTATGTCATGCAGTTTATAATGAAACTATCTTAGATTTCAATAATTTTAAATGACCATCTGGCATGACAAGCTAGTTAAAAGCTTTTTAATGTTATGACAGCATTTTAATTTGATAGACATCAAGGTTATGCTTTGTACTCAGTTTGCATAGTATTCTTGATTAAAATTCACATCTTTTTAATTTTCAATGGCGTATAAATATTGATTAATGCATTGCAATCATGCACAATAGTTAGCAATACATCACAAGTATCACTGAAAGATGATAGGGTAGGGCTACATTAGTTTGCCAGGGTAACACAAATTTATTTTTCAGTTATCTTAACGGTCCTTTGCATACACAAAAGCCAAAGATAACCTGGCACAAGACTGTTGAAAAAGAAAGAAAGAGGGAAATCTTGGAAAGAAGGGAAAACTGCAAGTGAACAGAGAGACGTAGAGATGGTTAACACAGACGTACATGGACTACTGAGTGTTCGACACTCAAAGATATGCATCATTCCTACGCAGTTGTGTCATTGGTGTTGTAAAAATGTTCACAACTGACATCAACAAAAGATGCTGTAGGTTTACAGATATGTTACTGTCAAGGAATGTACTTTTTATCAATCGTTAATTTGTTAATTTTATTTTATTTTTATGGTTATATCTCTAAATTTATTAATCAAAATTATTATCTAGTTTATAGGATATTAATGATCATTATTAAAATTTTAGTTACTATTTATGTTTAAATGGTTAAATTTAGGGTTATTTTGTTATTTTTAAATTAGCTTGAAAGTTTTAATAAATTATAGTCTTCAATTGTTAAATTGTTACTCAACAGTTTAGTGCTATTATTTATTCCAATCAATAAAGTTGTTAATTAGAAATTTAATGTTATCATTAATGAGCAGAGAAAGATGGCATTACAATATATAACTTTGCTTATTAAGTAACATTTTGAAAACAAAAACAAGAAAACTTTAACACAWCCTTCACAGAAGAATGCAGTTTGTTTCTTTACCTTGTGTGTAATTCTTTATAATTGGCAATTTTTCAACCTTCAAAGTGCCCAATTTCCCAGAGAAAATTGCTTCTTGTAAAATATTTAGTAAGGTCGCATCTGTGTCATACAACTTGCAAGCAAACCTCAGTTCAACACTGGCCACAACACTTCCCTTACTGAAAGAAAATACAAGAATTAGTTGGGTGTTGCTGGAGGGAATACTATCAGCAAGTGAGGAGACTCAAACTATGAACACTTTTATCAACATTCTCTATTTTCTACTAATTCAAAGCTTCCTTTGATCTGCATTTCACTATTAAGGATTTCAACCTTTCTGGGTGTCAGTGACGAGAGCAAAGCTTTATCCTAAGCTCGTATTAATGGCACAGATGAAAGGGAAAAAAATACAATCATAACAAACCTGAAAGTGATTTTAGTTGTTTCCATAAAAGACGTGTAATTGGAATAAACACTTGCAATCTATGAAGAATCAAAAATATTAGAAATTGTATCCCTATTTTGTATAACAATATTTATTCTACTACAGCTGGTGCTTCAACAGTTCACAACAACACTGCTTGATCAGGGTTTTGAGTTAAGTACTTGCCATGCAGTATGCTCACAAATGAACGACAAGGCATGAGTGTCAAAGATTTGCCCAGAGAAATTGTTTGTGGCATCAGTTGTAGTAGTTATGTCTCCTTTCAAATCTTCACTTACCGAAGTCTTTACTCTTTCAGATAGTTTTTTATACTTTGAAGTCTCAGAGTCTTTCAGATCTTTATCCCAATCTTCATCAATTAGTGTTATTTTAGCATTAATTTTTCTCTCTGAAACAAAACCATTAACACTTCAGTGGATATTCATTATTTCACTGCATTATTCATTCATCAAATCACAAATATAATGAATCACAATACAACACCACCAGCATACCTTTTAATGTAAAATTCTCTCCAACTGAAGGTCCAAATTTATTCTGAGCTATACAATAGTAAGACCTAGGCCCACTGTCTTCATTGACAGATGTAGTGACAGTTTGAACCAGACCTTTGACAACCTTGTATCGTCTCACTGTTGGTTTTGGGATTCCTTTGGCGTTACACCAAAAGTAAGTCTGTCCAGACGTTTTGAAAAATCCCGATGAAACAACAGGAAGAGTGCCTTAAAATAAAAGTATTATATGTTACACAACACTTTAAGTTAACTCAGTTTTCATTTCAAGTTAAATCCGAGTCTACTGCAATCTTTCAGCTCTTATAACGATCACGATATCTAGGGCTTACCAAAGACTTTAAAAGTTCAGTTTGGTAAAAAAAAGATGTAATAAAGATATAAATTACTTGACTTAATTCTGTCTTGAGTTATTTCAAACAAAGACTGTATTGTGAAAATGAATTACTTATATCTCAATGGCAAACAGCTGACCATTGTCACAACCACAGGAAGCCCACATAAGCGTCTAGTTTTATTTCGCATGAGGAAAGAGCCTGAAGAGATCTGTCCTGTTTATACTGTAAAAATGGCTAAAACATCAAAATAAAACCTACCTTTTATTGACAGTTTACAAGTGTGGCTTTGTCCCTTGTTATTCTGCACTGTACATTGATAATCACCAAGGTCTTCCAAACCAAACTTGTGAACAGAGAGTCTTTGTGAATATTGTAGGTCTTCAATGGTATAATCAGAGCTTGCTTGAACCTGTTGACCATTAAACTGCCACTTTGTCACTGCAGGGACCGGGATTCCTTGCATGAAGCATTCTAAAACTGTTGTTCCACCGGGATTATTGGTTTGTATTTTCAGTGAACAAGTTGGAGGCTCTAAATAGGAAACACGATATTAAGAATTAAATGGATGGGAATAGAATAGGACAGGATGGGAAAGAATGGGATAGGATGAGACAGGATGGGATTGAATTGGAGAGGATCAGGTTGATAGAGTTGGAATGGGATGGATGGAAGGAAGCAGGATGGAATGAGAATGGATTGCCCTGTAAGATAAGGATGGGATATGTAATGCCAAGATACAATAAGTGAAGAAGATTCCTGCTTACCTTCTGGACAAACATTATCAAATTTTCCAAAGACAACATCCTGGATCCAAGAGCTAGATAAAATCAACAAACTTAAAATTAATTTGAAGACTGGTTGTGGTTTAAATAAGAAAAGATAGAGATTGAATATAAGGGAAATTATTCTCTCCTTCTGCACCACATTTAAAGACATCTGCACCTTTGCAGAGAAACAAGACATTGTGACATAGCTGGTTCTCTTGCTTCTACAGTGTAGGCAAAGGTATGGTTATACCTTTCAAAATAGCACAGGGAAGCAGGAAAGAGATTATTTTCTACTAGAAAGATTTAATGGATTAAGAGTGAAATAATGAGAAGGGTGAGACTAGTGGTATTTGCCATACCTGCTTCCAGCTGTATCTTTTGTTGTACATTTGTTTTCACTCCAACCACAATATGGGTCCTGAAGCTCCACACATGACCTATAGTACAGTACATTATATTATGATATCAATAATCATATCAATGATGACATCACACCATATCAATGATGACATCACATCATATCAATGATGACATCACACCATATCAATGATGACATCACATCATATCAATGATGACATCACACCATATCAATGATGACATCACATCATATCAATGATGACATCACACCATATCAATGATGACATCACATCATATCAATGATGACATCACACCATATCAATGATGACATCACATCATATCAATGATGACATCACACCATATCAATGATGACATCACACCATATCAATAATGACATCACACCATATCAATGACATTACACTATATCAATGATGACATCACACCATATCAATGATTACATCACATCATGTCAATGATGACATCACACCATGTCAATGATGACATCACACCATGTCAATGATGACATCACACCATATCAATGATGACATCACAACATGTCAATGATGACATCACAGTAAATCAATAATGACATATCCCATTTTACCAATGATGACATCACACTATAACAATGATGACATCACACTAAATCAATGATGACATCACACCATATCAATGACGACATCACACCTTATCAATGATGACATCACAGTAAATCAATGATGAC